TGTTGAACGGCTTCAACAGTTGAACGTGCGCCCTAGCATTATTGTGCACCGATTAAGATATGTATTTTCATGACTTGTGGAAATTCCATACAGGATAAAGTTTAACTTGGAAATTGCCTTTAGCACTCGCGGCTTATCTACCTCGGTATGGAGGCAATGAATGGAACTTTGAATTGCTCTGTGTTGCTTTGAAAACGGTTGCGGTATTCCCCGAGAATATACAGTCGAAGATGTTTAAGTTAACAGCATCAGTTCAAATTCTTGGGAGATCATGGGTCGGAGGTCTTTGAAATGGCTCTAGATGACGATGTGACCATGCAAATTGGAGATGAGAGTATACGCTGGGAAGCAATAAAAAGACATCAATCCGAAACCGTAATTTCAGACAGGCTGTCTAAGTCACATTTCCGTCCGAATAATCCAAAGTAATACAGAGCAGGCAGGATCGATTCCAAGCCTTGTCGGTGCCTCGAAACACCTTACCTGAGACACGTAAGATGACATCAGGAACAGCCCCAATTTATCCTAGGGCTAATGGGCTACCTAGAGCTTCAGATTGAGCCGCTTTGAAACAAAGAACACCTTGCGGAGTTACGTTAAACTCTTCTCAGGCATAACAGTATTGTGCTTGGCTCAACACGGGAGCGCAATGCTTAAAATTAAGAAACAAGGTATATAACTATGCGACGTTAGTTGTCACAAGCTATGGATTTAAATACCATTGCCTTAATCATCAGCAAAAGGAAGCGAGCATGTTGATTGGCGAAAATCGTCGCAGTCGCGTGCGGTAACAAGAGTTGGAAAGTTCTAGGTAATCCTACACGGAATTTTTGTCAAAGACGTGCCCTGGAAATGATCAGATTTCGTTTCATCAAGACCCTTGTGGCTGGCGACTTGCCTCCAGAGGAGATTTGATGAATGACAGTCAGGAACAAAACCCCAAACCAAACCCTTTCAGACATATCAATAACAGCAAAGCAATGGAACCACGAGCTGACAGCTTTTGTTTTTCGTTCAGAGTCGAAAGAAGGATCAAGTGACTGAATCATGATAAGCATCTCGTACCAGGGCCGTTGTTTCCGCGGTCTTCTTGCTCATCTGCGCGCGAAGTCATTAGATCCTCTGCAACAGCATGCAACAACTTGATTGTCCGATCCACTTCTCCTTCTAGGTCGTGTGTAAAAGAGATTTTCGGCTGCAGCTTGTTGTCCAGAGTTTATTGCCATGCCGAGGAATGGACGGATTTGGACTAGTTCAAGTTGTTTCAAACTTCATGCCATCTGAACAGTCCAAAATCGGTCATTTAGGACAGACCTCCATGTACTAGAAGCTGGAAGGCGCATCTAATGTTTCGAAATGAACCGCTCTGTCCAAAGTCGCTTTGAGAAGTTCCTTATTCCTAACACTCAAGCAAGAAGCTAGAGGAAAGCAGTGAAACCAAGAGCTGACTGTTTTGTTTTGTTTTTTTCAGTCTGGAGTTGGCGTAATGACCGGACCAATTGGCAATGAACTACTATAAGCTGTGAGGATTCTCGTCCAAGGTGCATTCTTTCAACAGTAATTTCTTTGACTTGCATGCAAGGTCTTGCCATACCCTTGTTCCCATCATACAGCAGCTTGTTGTGTGGTTTCAGCTATACTGTGATCAGCAGGTGGGCTCTGACATCATACTCGAGTTCCTCGGGTAGACGCTCGAATCAAGCGTTCAGCTCAACTAGAGCCTTAAGTTGAAGTGGGACGAGCGGGAGGTGAAGAGTTCGTAGTGTTCTAGGGCAGCTCTCACCGAGCGGACCCTATAGAATAGTTGTTAGAACAGTAAGGATGCGCCTGATTCGCACCGAAATGCACTCTTTTATGTCTTAATCATCACATCATAGCATCAGGGGAAAGGTTCTCTGATATAACAATGTAAACTATGCGACTTTTCATACAAAATCTCTCTCGAGTCCTACAGACTCAGTTATTCGTGACTCTAGTGTACACCTTGTTTCATACGAAACGCAGTGCCTCGGACGTTGTGTGCTGATGTAGAAAACGGCTGCAGCGCGACCTAAGCGCCCTCACATGACTCTTTCGCCATTTCCGTTAAAATTGTTGTCTCATGCGTTTCATTCGTCCAAATTAAACTAGTACAAGATGAATCGAATCGGCGAATAATATGTGCACGTACAAACTCATACGATCTCAAAAGGACCAATTTGTTACCGGGTTGAGCTACTCTCTTTCCTCGACTTCAGCTGATCTTGACGGCTGTCATTACTGTCCATGGAGGTCGTATTAAGACAAGATCGTGAAAACCAAAACTTTCCCCTATACTCTTTTTACTTTCATCGGCACCTCAGCTCCATCCTTACCAACAAGTTTCGGCCTCTTGACAATCCCATGATGAAACCCAATCTCTATTCTATCCCAGCTATTCTCGAAGTCGAAATGAAAATTCTTGATGAGGACAAACAAAGTAGCTTTGAACTCTGCCAGTGCAAAATTTTTGCCTAAGCACATCCGGGGACCGTCAGAGAATGTCATGAGATGCCTATGACCCATAGGCTTAGAACGTGGAGACGAAGTTGAGGCAGAAGATAGCCAGCGGGAGGGGTTGAACACTTTTGCATTTTCACCCCAAAACTCTTTTGAACGATTAATCATGGTAATAGAGGTGGTGACATAGGATCCTTTAGCAATACTCAGACGGTCAACCATCGTGCCGTTGGGCGTTCGATAAGGTTGAGACAAAGGTAAAACATCGTCTCGCTTTGCCTAAAAACAGGGAATGTTTGTGAGGGAGGAATGCACTAGCTTCAGAAAATACATTGAGTACGAACAACTCGATTACTTTCATGGAGAGGTGCATGCAGCCTTAATGCCTCATGAACAACACTATCCAAAATTGGCAACACGGAGGTGGACGTGAGCTGCTCGTATGTGGGCTCTGACGCGAATTTCTGCAACTCCTCACGAAGCTGGGTCTGAATGTCCTGATTTAGGGCTAACTCGATGAGAGCCCAAGTGAGACTGATACTGGTTGTTTCGTAGCCGGCAAGGAGAAGTACATTCATCTGAGATGCCACTTCTTCTTTCGTCATGCTCAGTGAACCGCCTGTCGACTCAGCTTTGACTGTACGGCGGAGTCAGTTTACTATGGAAATAGATCTTAAAGAAAGACCACCCACTCAATAGCCCAATTATGCTCCTCTCCAGAGCAGAATCCTCTCCAAGCTCTTTCTGTTCTTGCTTTGTTTGGGTGAGTAAATTTTGTGCGCTATCCGACATTGTTTGTCGGAACTTCCTTAACACCTGGTTTCGGCGAGTCGGTGCTCTAGTATAGAAATTTGGGAAAGGAATACTGAGAAGTAGAAAGTCAAGAAAGGTGAAATCGAGGTTTCCCATTGCCCTGAATAAATCAACGACGGCAGATGGCTGGTCATCTAGGGAGTTGAATTCGTGGCCGAAACCCGCGAGTCCGATGCTATCTAGGCTGTAAAGGGCATTCATGTTAGGAACATAGTCGGTAGCCTGAGAGAGCACGAACGATATGCGGTTCATCCAATCCTGAACTTCTATGATTGCTGGGCCGCCATTGGCGTCAAGGATAACTTCCCAATGGTTTTTGGCCTATAATATTACAGAGGAGAGTGGATTATGAAGGGGAAATACCAAACCTTATGTGCAGAATTATAGAATACTTCAGTTAGTCGAGTGATAGCTGCTACGCTAAAAGCGGGGGTGAGAGCCTTGCGAAGTCTGAAGAGAGGGTAAGAAAGTCACAGGTAAAAGATACAAAACAACCTTTTGTGCTGATGTCCTTCAGCAGTCAGCATATCTGTTGAAGATAAGGTTCACTAGACTGCGGGTACTCCGGAAGCTCACGTACTACCATCACCTAGCTAACCTCAAATAAATTGGGCATTACAACAGCAAATTAAGTACACATACAATACTGTCGAGAAATACCTTGGTAAGGTACGACTGCGCATAGATGGCTGGGTCATTCGCGTAGAAGTGGGTGACTGCTTTGGGATCTGCGAGGACGATTTTCTGGTTCCAGAGCAAGACAGGTACGCCTATAACATTTCCGAATTCCTGAGCCCAATTTTCATAGAGTTCAGCGACGTGGTTGCTTTTCAGAATAGCCTGAGTCCATCCCCAGACTGGGTGCAGTCGCGGCGGTCCGTTCAGAGGTGTCGTTATCCGGAAACGACGCTTTCTGGAGAGATACCAAGGTCCAAGGGTATATGCAAGAAAGAGGGTGGTCGATATTAGAGCAATTTCTGTAACGGATAGAGTCATCATCGTAGTGAGGAAGCAAAAAGCGACACACAGCAGCTGCTCTTGGTTCTGAACCATGAACATCAGAATCAAAGAGTGATTATGATGTCAATGACATCACGGCAAGCTCTCATCATTTGGGCGACTTACGAGGAAAAATCTTTTAGATTGCAGCAACGGGTTGTTTTGGGTTCAATAACGAAGGATGATGATATGATGAGATTGAATGCAAGGATGGTCGTGAGATCGCGGAACAGATTTCTGCTACGTTCGTTCACAATAATATGGATGACTTTATTTGAGCTGCATGCAATGCCTTGAGCTGGAGCTTCCGGAAATAGTAAGAGATAATAACTCCCATGCGACGGTAGCATCGTACATGACACCAAATGGGGTCATGAGGTCACTGTGTAAGGCTTCTCCCTTTCAGCCTTGTAGGGATGTCGATGTTATCAGGTCACACTCTCTTCATTTCGATGTATACGACGAAGAGCTTTATTTTGCTGTACCAACTTTAATCTCAGATCAACAAGGTCTGAAGGTGGTGAATGAAAGAATGTTGGGGTTCCAGGTTGTGCACACATAATCATTGGTGTTAGGCGGCTATGAAGCGAGAAACTTGCTCATGGTTGTATCGTGTCCTAGGCTTTCCTGTATCCAATGTCAGTGAGTGTCACAGAGCTGACTATCTTGGATACATACCTTCAACACGGCACCAGCGCCTTACCGTCGTATCCCAAATAGTATAGTGGCCAGTACACCTGCCTGTCATTGAGACAGGCGGTCGCAGGAGACCGGAGTTCGATTCTCCGTTTGGGAGATGTTTTTGTCCTCTCATCTTGTGTACTTTGTTTGACCACTCTTCTTCACGTTTCCCAAGTAGTACTGATCGTGCACTCTCGTATCAACGACTAAACCAACCACACAACAAACCCTCGTTGAGAGCGTTCGTCTGAGAAGGTAAGAAGCTGAACAAGGAGCAACTGAGAGTTCGTCACTCTCGGATCGTTCACTCGTTCTGAAGCTTCGTTTGGCTTTCTAGCGGGAAACGGTAACCTTTCTTAGGTCGATACTTTGTCTAGGTAGTAGTTACAATACAACTTGATTGTTCTTTAGCGCTCTCAAACCGCAGCTTATATACCCTAGCCTTGACTGTGCCGTAGTACTGCAGCACAGTACCGTAGTCCTTTCCTCAGTAATCGTAGCACGTAGTCTACTGCTTCGTAGTTTCCGTAGTAATAAAATATTCATTTTCTTCTCATTTTACGCTCGAAAAGTTCGAGGGGTGATCAGTACAGTGGTGAGTACGCCTTTATCCAACGACGCAGGAAACCGGAGTTCGAATCTCCGCTTGGGAGTCCTTGTCGAATCTTCTCCTTTTTCGTTAGTACCAAAGCCAGACAGGCAACTTAGGAAGGAGTCCGCTTAGGAGAGTATCATGGGTGCTAATTCTTTTTCTGCTCGGACCAGAGAGTGACAATCGGGATAACATGCTCATCGCAGAAACATTCGATCTGTTGTGGGGCCCGGGTTCTATATTGTAAAACTTGGCATTCTAAAGGAATAACACTTGGCTTGACTTGAGCAAGTCTCGTATTGCACTGTACCCTTTTGGTCTTCTCGCTTCATGGTTAATATTCCAGGGCTTTTAGTGCAACTATACTCCATTGCTACTGATTGAGAAGTAGCACCATTGTCTTGAAAGTATGGCGAACATCAGCGCATACTGTCAGTATTATGGTTACATGAACTAACGCGTGTTGATGGCCATTTTTGTCGTTAAGGCTGCCAAGCCCTGTAATGAGTTCGACGCTAGCAAAATTATCTTAGATACTTTAAACGCGCCACTACGTCTTTAATGGCATGTAAGTTATTGTATGTACCGACACAGTTTAAAGCGTTGCAAGTGATCAGCTAAACGAATAACGAAGACCGAGCCAGCCAAATTAGCTCGTCAAGCTTGAATGGGAACATCGGTGATATCGTCTTCGTCTGCCTGCAACTGTGCCATACCTAGCAGAATCAAGATAGTCAGAATTTTTACAGTCATGTGAAGCTGAGAAGCTAACCAGCATCAGTAATAACAACGACTTGCTCGATAGGTTCGGTCAGCACAGGAAGTCCGGGGTACTTTGCTCCAGCATCCAGTATCAATTTCTTCTGAGTCTCCGTAAATTCGGCGTATCTGGATAAAGAAGGAAATAAGAAATTCAAAATTGAAAGCCCGCCGATTATAGGAGACGAACCCAATAACAAAGTCCACATTCTGGATGGCGTTGAATTTTGCCAAGGAATTCGCGCCCAAGATCGATTGTACCTTCGTATCGAATGCTGCGTCTTGAACCGGAACCGGTTTGTTGGATCCTGTGATTTTATCTTTGATCGCTTGCGCAATGAGTTCTTGCTCCTTCCGGAACTATATCATATGGTCAAAACAAGGTAACAAGGAAAGTTAGACTGAGCAGTGATGCTTACTGCTGACCCCTTAGCAGGCTCATCCTTTTTTGATGCTTCCAGGACTCTAATGTCGAGCAGTTAGGCTATGCAAGCGCATTGAATGAGAAATATGTCATACCTGTCATCTTTGACATCCGGATTGAAAACGAACTCTTGAAGGGAAGCCATAAAAATGGAAAATGGAGGACAGGCAGGATGATGGACTTACCAATGACCACCATACCACCTAGATCCTTGCAACGTCCAGGTAAAAAAGCTCGAGCATACGCTTGTGCATGCTCAAGCTCAGACGTGAGGTAAAGGCCACCTGCCTGAGTGAGCTCATTACCAAAAAGCATGGAAGGAAAGGATTACCTTTCCAGGAGAACTCGTCAGGCCAATCTCTTCCCTCTCGTAATTTGAACTGTTTCTTTTCGATCTTTTCGATTATTTCTTTAGCGGAATCCTTGCATGTTGCATGAAATTGGATATGATAGACCTTGCCGACGAGGTTTTCCTCCTTTTTGCCGGGGGAGAAAAAGCGCAATGCTGATTGGAAGAGCCCGCTTTCGTCAGAGAACCCGGCGACATTGTCAAGAACACGACTCCAGATAGATGAGGATTCATCATTTGAAGTCCCACAACCAGGTGCTGCTGTGACAGATGACGCAGCGAGGAAGATTAGGGTAAAGAGGGTAGTTGGTCGCATAGTTGCTGGCAAGGTGAAGAATAATCGGAGGGGAGTCTCTACGTATATAAAGGCTTCCGGGTGAATTTCAAGACGACCGACGTCCATCCGAATTTTGCATGATTCAGCAGATTTTGTCGTTCATAGGACCTGAGTGCACGAATTCTACCTCGAGTGATACAGCTTTCGCATTAACGCCGACATCTAACCCCCAAAATTGAAGCACAAGTAGGACCCAAATGTGGAAGGCGGTGGCATTCGTAAATAGAGTGTTGAGACAAGCAAGTTCTTGCAAGAGGCCTGAGAACGCGACCGTTAGGTATTTAGTGCAGTGGACACGACGTTAACTTCTGGGGTAGAAATGAGCGCTAATAATAGAGATGAAATAGAATGCACAGGATACAGAAGACTCGGGTCGCATAGAGTTGCACATGGGGAAGTAAAAAGAAAAGGGCCGCCAGCGCTTGCACGTTCCATTCATAGACTTGCGTGAGGATCGCCAACTTCTGCACCGCCCTGAAGCTTTCCGTGCTAATCTCAACCATCTGTGGATTCTCTTGAACGAAGTTTGAATATAATTCAACATAGGATCTGGGAAGGAGTCTCCCTGAAAACTGGTCGTGATGAGACTTCCTGCTTGACAGAACGCTGGGGAACACGATTGCGCATGGCATTGCGCGACAGTCACATATCGACATGATGAGGGTTGTCTCGAATACCTTGAATTCCATAGGGTTTTGGGGCGAACGTTCAAATGCTCACCAAAACTGTCTCGGGAATGGCGGCCTTTTTTTGTTATGATGACTCCTCACCTCTCGCGATACGACACCATTTCGATCAGGGACGTACGTGAGGTACGCTTGAGTCTCCTGTATTTCTGAGTACCAGGGTGTGTGAAAAAAAATCTCCATAACAGACCTAGCATCCAATGGCGTGAAAGAATCGAAACCTCCAAAATCTCCAAACTTGGAGCTGTGAATCATGTTTCCATTTTTACTTGTGTCCAAATGCATTTCCTTCCTCGAAGAATAATGTTCTGACAATGGCCCGTCATAATGAGGTCAAAATGTGTCGCTATTCCTTCGCACCAAATCTTCCTCATCGGCGAACTAGTATTCTCCTATGCACGAGGGTTTGAAGGCATTAATAAGTGCTTTGTGTTTGCCGCTGTGATTGGGGTGCAAACCGGCGACTTGTCCTGGATGATCGGAGGGTCATTTTGGGTCGGATGCTATCACCAGCATCTTTTGCCTCTTGGCTCTTCTGGCCATAGTCTCTCGTCTCTCTTGCGTTCTTCGCGTGAGAACCGCATCCATCTTTTTCCCGGCTGTTTTTAAGGGTTAATCACAAGACGTATGTGCACCTGACTCTGTCTCCGAACGTGATCCAGTCCTCAAACCCTTATCGGAAACAAACTCAACTTGTCTCATCTTTGCAGCCTCCCACAAATTTTTGTGTCTTCGTGAACATTTCTTCGCCATTATCATTCCAAGAATAATCCGTTTCACCCTCCCTTCTTTATGGAATTAAGGATTCAGGGTGAAACACGCTATATCCATTCAACACTCTCAACCTAATCGATGATTATCCGCCCTCCACACCTCTTTTCTCCAGATATTTTGGTGGTGGGCTTGAATCTACATTCCCGAGGCGTTTGTGGCGGTCATACCCCCATTGACTCATTTGACCAAAAGATGCCATTTCAATTGTGTGTGGTACGGCTTGGAGCTCTCGAGCGGGATGACGATGAGGCACGAAGATCTCTCAAACGCGAACGCAGGCCGTGGTGCTAGCTCCAAACCACATAGACTCAATGAGGGAGCGCCCTTGCGCATCCACTCGACCACCACCAATAGGGGTACCAATTACATCCTAGATTATTCAAAAATTTGACGAACGGCGCACCAGGCTCGACCAAATCTAGGACAACGCTAGTGAGAGTACGCTGAGGATGGTGAGTTGCCGTAAAACGAAGGAAATGGCGTTCAGACAGCTTTTGAGGCAGAATCCAAAGAAGAGGGCCTCGGCAGAAGGAGCCAGTGCTTTTAATTTTTCGTTTTTTTGCCACGAATTGACTCTGTCTTGATCAACAGATGGTTCAGAATCCGTGAAATGTCTCGATTCCCCTTTGATGTGCCCCACTGACACTGATCTACTTGAATGCGAAAGCGACGGAGAATGAGGTTCTCAACAAGGTTTTCGAGCAACATGTGGGTTGTATTATGCGTGCTTGTGTTTGATTGTCGCATAACAGATCTCGTGCATTGTCTACCTCACCTACGTCCTCATAGTATTGTTCCATTGACCTTTTTATGTAATTCGCTTCAAACTTATTCCATAATATATATAATTGTCTAGTTCTATCTAAAAATATGGATCACCCACGCAGACCTCGATACTCCCAAACCACACTCATTGCGCTTTCTCCGGAGAAGCACTTTTGCGTCTCCATATCCGGGCAAATTTCTTCGCAAGCCTGTTATCGGAGAGTTGATTAAGAGGGACGAACCTGAAATATGGGATATTTGGCTGAGGTGAGGAATATGAGACGCGAAAGTGGCCGGGGTTAAACGCGGCAACTTCGTAGCATACGCCCGCCGCGTCAAAGAATTGAAAAAGCCCTTTGGTGGTATTCTGGAAATCCAGCTTCCACTTGTAGCGAAGAGAGTAGCGATTCCGCTTTATGCTGTACTCGC